GGTCCCCTTTGAACAGCTGTATTGCACACAGAACCCAAAGAAGAAAAAGAGCACAGACCGCGAAGCCTGAACCCCAAGTTCTAATCTCTCTACTAAATACAATTTACTGTTGACCTTCAGTACACCGGGACTAGGTGACCCCAGGGAGGTACCCAGGCTGCAGAAGGTTAGGAGGTATGGCTCTCCCTCTAGTCCCAGCCTTTCTCTACACTCTGAGCTGTAGTTGGTCATTTTGGAGACACCTAAAGGCCCTGCCAGTGTCAACTATAGTGAAGTCACTGAATTTCCCAAGTTGGCAAATGGCGTAAGTAGGAACAAAACCTTGAAACCTGCACACACTCATTACCTACAGACCACGGGATCTCCATGCTATCGAGCTGGTACCTGGATCTGTTTTCCTGACACCTATAGTCTGGCTTTTTTTTGTTACCTATTTTCTGATAAATACCTTCTGAAATTCTTATTTGCTACATTTACTCCAGAGATGTCTAAAACTATCTTTTCATCTCTTATAAACTCCTGAAAAAAAAACTACATATTTTTATAAACAAACAAATAAAAAAATTGTTATAGTCATATATGGTAACATTGAAGCATTGAGAAAAATTAAACTACAAAGTTCACTGCCTGATATTTTGTTTGTATTCTGATAAATAAAGCTTACGTGAAGATAAAAAAAAACTACATATTTTATTAATAGGCTTTCTCATTGTGTGTGTGGCTGCACCTGTGTGCGTACACACAAACGAGATCAAATGACAACTTCCGGTGTTGTTCCGCAAGTGACAGTCATTGAAATGGAGTCTCTGGCTTGGGCACTCCAAGTAGGCTAGGCTGGCTGGCCAGCAAGCCCGAAGTACCTATCTTTGTCCCCGCTCCCATGCTGGGATTACAAGTGGATGCCTCAAGGCCCAGCTTTTTAAAACTCAAGTTCTGGGGTTCAAACTCAAGCCTTCATGCTGAAAAGCAAGTATTTCACCTCCTGAGTCAGCTTCATGGCCCCACTGTGCTTCACCTTTCTGTCCTCTCAATTTTTATCCAAGTTGAACTCTTTGCTACTGCGTATCATTCACACAAACATGCTGAGCAGGGATGCGCCTGGTCTAACTGAGAACTCCCTGGCCATTTTCATCTTAGCTGACAAGGGCTGCAAACCTAGGTTATAACATCCTGAGCACAGGAAGCTCAGCCTGCAGGTTCAACACATGCAGCCGCCGCGCGACTCAACTTACCTGGTGAAAGAGAATGCCGAGCTGCAAAATGCACAGGGCAGGCGGAAGTGAACGGGTCACTGGAGTGACGAGGGGAGGTCTGTGTTCCCCAAAACTTTACATGACACAAAATCACATCTGGAAGTGTGTGTGTGTGTGTGTGTGTGTGTGTGTGCGCGCGCGCGCATAGTGTCTGGAAAACAAAGCCCCAAACTGTTGTGTGCCAGAAACAACAGAAGTGAGACTAAATCATCCCTCCAGTTACAGCGTTAATTCGTGAAAAGAAAGTTTTTTTTGTTTGCTTTTACTTTCCCCCATGAGTTTGATTTATCTTACTCTTGGAGGGGCTTTGCGCTAGGAGGCACCTTGCACTTTGAGGGGTTGGTTAGCTGGGTAAAGGGAACACGGAGGGCAGTTTTGGGAGCCCGCGGGAAGTTCTGACGAGAGGCATTGACAGCTTGCCTAGCTCAGCTCTTGGAAAACAGGCCACATCACCCTGCAGCACACAGTGCTTGTGCGAGCCTAACATCGCAAGCTTTGGCGACATGGGCAAGTGAGGCGGCTTGGTGTGGTGGCCACAGAGGCTGGCCTGCCTATTGCTTAGTAGTTTGCTGGCTATTGCAAAACTACTGTGAAAGGAGGGTGATGGGAAAGCTGCTTAGGGGGGCTGAGGGCAGGCAGATAGCCAATGTGAGGGAGTGCTGGGTGGTGGGCGCGCTGGCTGTGGTGGTGGGCGGGATGAACTGCCAGCTCTGCCTACTTCACCATCCTTCCTCCGCTGTGAGGACGTGCCAGACTTAAGAAGTTGCACTATCATTCTTCTTACTCCCCTTCCTGTTGACTAAAAAACAGGGGGACATTGCCTTTCCTTGCTCACTAGACCTTGAGCTGAACAGTCCCCACAGGGCACAGCCAACATGGAGGGGACACTGTGCCTTTCGCTCTTTCCTACCCTGGCCCCATGATCTCCTAACTGTCTGTGGTTCCTGCTCAGAGCCATGTTTTGCGTTTACGTTCAATGTAATGAACAAAACCAACTTTTCAATGCAAAGGAAAAGTTATGGCATTTCCAACTACAAGAAAGACGGGAAAAGCACATTACTAGTGTGAAATATTCCCTGAGGGGTTGACATCTCAGATTTTCCATAAGACAAATAATCTCTGGAACTTTCCACAAGACAAACACACCCCACTCCTCGTTTCCTACCACACACTACATAATGTCACAGTACATCTGAACCATGACAGTTTTTTCAATACACAAACAATTATTTTTCAGGATTCTATAATTAACCTTTCTAGGGCTAATGTATTTCGAACATATTTATAGCTGAAAAAATTATTAATATGCAATACCTCCACTTGGTTTCTGTTCATTGTTTCATTGACAAGATTCCTTATGGTGCCTAACTTTTGGTCACAGAGATATGATATAAAATGTCAATGTGTAGATGATGTTTTGGAAGGTCTAGGGTGGGGAGGAGAGGCTCCTTAAATGGAGATGTCAACTCCAGCCAATTTCAGAATGGCTCACCATTAAGATGGATGTTCTCAAAGCTCCGTGCCTCTGCTGGAAATTAAAAAAAGCCACGGAATAACTGATTGTGATTAATTTTAAATGCTTAGCCATGTGAAGCCAAATGAGCATCTTTAAAACAAAGCTATTGATCTGTCTTTGTTTGGAATTGAGAAGATAAACGAATCAGATCCTGCAGGCCTTCTGCAATGATGAGGAATGAGAAGTTTTTATTGCTGTTATTATTATTTTAGCCATGGATTTCTAGATTTTTAACTTTTCAACAACTGATATGTCTGGATAACACTTTTTCCCCCTGTAAAAATCTGAGAATGGAGGAATTGTTCAAATATGTCCCGGACAAGAATTTTGACCTGGACGAAGGCGCAGTAGGGCGAAAGATGTAGGAAGGACAACACTGACAGGACCTCCTGTGTGGTCCCTTCTCAGAGGTGACAGGTCACAAAGCTTGACCCAAGTCCATGGCTTCCTAGTTCCCACCCATGTGAGCCTATCCTAAACTCTTCTTTTCCCCCAAAGACTCCCTCAGACGACACTGGCAGAGTGCTAACCAAGGAACTGACAGGTCATCACAGCTGTTGGGTGACAACTATGACTTTTGTTTCTTCAGAAGGCATTTTCTCATCTTTCTCATTCTCCCCTGCAAGGAGTAAAAGGAGAGAGGTTCCTAACAGACCTTCCTACAGAGGCTTTTTCGAAGGTAGGGAAAAATCACGCCTCCCCTTCTCAACTCCAGTTTCCCAGGGAAGAGAAGTCTTGGGCTGCTAAATTCGAGCTGGCACACTCTCCCACAGACATGCAATTGTTGCCGGTTCCGGGGTCAGAGTTTGGGTGAGGAGAGCCCATCCATCTCAGGACTGACAATCTGACCTCTCCTGTCTGTGGGTCCCTTCTTTTCTATGCCAAGAACCCTCAGCTTGCAAGCAGTTTCAAGTAGCTTGCAGCATCGGCATCCCCTCTTTTTCCCGTGATTTCTCCTAGAATCACCTTCCTCTCTCGCAAGGTGGGGGGGGGGGATCTTTCAACCCACTGCTGGTGTCTTCCAGGCGAAAAGGCAGACTATGCACCTTCCTTTATGTACAAAGGGATAGTCTGACATATTCATTCATTTAGCCAACCATTCATTCTTCCACTGCAAGCAACACAGGAAATCTCTAACTATGTAATTTCACCCCCAAGGATGCTCAACTCACCCTAGTCTCTCACCACTCTGAAGCTAGAACTGCTCCCACGTAATAATTTTTGCAGATTTTAGAGAAGGCAAGTCACTCTCAAGTGAGAGCAATAAACTCCTTTCTTTTATGAACGAGAACACTGAGGCTCTGAGAGCAAAGGGACTTGCCCAAGGTCACATGGCTAATTAGTGGCTGGGTAAGAACTGAATTGCACAGCCCCTGACCTAAGTTCTACCATGCTTTATTGCTTCCTCTCCAGGCTTCCCCACATCAAGGGCAGCGAGCAGTGTACCTGCTGGGGAAAACAATCAAACTGTTTTCTAACACAATCTAACTTTAGTGAAATGACCCCAGCATGACCCTCTCAGTGACTTTTCTCCAGAAAGCAGGTTTCTTTAGTTAGAGCCTGTGAACATCCAAGACACAGGAGGACAACCTTGTATGTGTGTGGTGTGTTTCTATATAAGGTATACATGGTGGGATTTCAAGGAGGAATCATTTCCCCTCATCTTTTCATTCCCACTACTTTAAGGTGACTATTTAAAGTTTGAATTTAAGCCTGAGATAAGATCTCAGGAGCAGAAGCAATAACTGGACCTCACCAGTCTGTCTGTCATTCCCCCTTGTCCTGTGCCAAGGTCCCTCCCTGCTTCTGGCTAATTCCGACTCACCTTCTGGTGATAACCCCTCTGTCACTGGCCACAGACCTGTAACCTGCCTCCCTGTCTTGCCCACACTCAGACAGCCGCTCCCTGAATCCACAGACAGATGCTGGGGGGGCTATTCTGGCCATCTGCTCCAACAAATACAGTGGGAGCATAAGAGAAACGGCTCGACTGAGGAACCCCAGTTTGTGGGAGGTGAGAAATCACACTTTGCAGCCAGCAAACACTTTGGCCAAGGTAAGCCAGAGGGATCTCCCGGTGCCCGATTTTAATAGCATTGCAGCAGAAGACCCAGAAACGCACCCACAAGGACCCCCCTGCGCACATGCTCCCCCTCTCTTCTCTCCCGCACAATGTATACACACTCTCTCTCTCACACACACACAAGGCAGCAATCGCAAAATTAACTCACAGGATCTCCAAATCGCGCAGCGCTCGGAAGGCTCCATCTTCAATGCAGCTGATGTGGTTATTGTCCAGTTGCCTGTGGGAAAGCAAGGGAGATCATGAAGGCAGAGCAGGGGCAGCGGCGAGGGGCTGGGCGGCTAGCCGGCATCCCTGGCCACTAAGCGCCTGTCCCTCCACCCATTGCAGGCTCTGCTTGTCCCTGCCAGGAGCTCCTGCAGAGCCAGCCTGTCTGCCACGCTGCTCTGTCTCTTCTCTCTGACTGTCTGAGGGAACTACACAGGCGAGCGCACCAAAGGCTGTCAGGTCTCAGTAAATATTAATTGCGCATTTTTTTTTTTTAGGCAGAAGGGAGTAATTTCATTACATTAGGGCATCCAATCCATTACGAGCTCTTACCGTCATGTCACTGAAACAATTTCATTAAGCTAAAGGCCTGTAAATCATTGGAGGTCACTGCTCTGCCCTCCGCGACCTCCCAGAATGCTTTTTCCCCCCCTCTCCCTCGTCTCCCTTTTACTGGAAGTTACAGTCTTTGCTTTGACACAGCGCTAAATCTCAAGGCTTTATCTGCCCAAGAGCGGTGAGGGTGCATGGGGAATATACCGATTCCAAATTAGACTCAACTAATCTAATTTTATAGTCTTTTTATTATTCTAAGCACCAAATGTCTGTGGTGGTTTGTTGTCTCTGTGCATTGTTATGGGGCCCATCTGGTAGGTCATTCTATGGGAACATTTTCTGAATAAATACAGATTCCCTCAAACTGCACTAACTATCACCAATAGTAAAGAAATTCATTGATGGCAGTGTTTGTGATGGAGAAGGAAAAAGGACAGCATTATTGCCTAAAAGATGCGCCACTTACATTTAAATTGGGGTGAATTAAATGCACCTATTTTTAGGATTCCTTTTTAATTCCCCTTTCCCATCCTAAATGCAGGAAAATAATGCGTTTCTAAAAGATGCCTTGACTAATAGACATCCCAGTTGAGGACGGAGGGATTTTAGTCGAGAAGTAATACACAACAGATACCATTTCAAACAGACATCCCAAAACGTTTATTATTTGTTAAATAGTAAATCAGGGTCTATATTACCACGACCACACCCAACTTATACTATATATCATACATTTAATTCCTAAAACGTCAATGTACAGAAAGAACGTCGTACAGAAAATGACGGTTAGCACCCAATAGTCTACTGTCCTTTGCCCAACAGCGGGGCAAGCTAAAGGTGTAGCTGTACTTAAAATTTTGTTCATGGACACTCAAATGAAATGAGAAAAAAAGCGAGTCCTTTTTAGGTAGATCATTTCCTATGGCTGGTATTTTGATTTGTAACTTCCATTCATATACTCCAAATCAGCTCTCCATGAAACACGCCAAAGTAACATTTGGTAACTCTCACAGAGGGTTTTATTCATTTTTTTTTTTTTACCGAAGGAAGATAGAATATTATGATGATTGCAGAAGTATATGGATATGAGCCTGGAAGCATATGGAAGTTCCTGTGCTGTCTCAGGTCCTGTACGGCATTATGAAGCTGCATTACCCAAACAGACAGTCATCACGGGGCAAGGTTTAAAATCGATTATGTTCAGAATTGAAAGTAACCAAGACACAGGTCTCCGAAAGCAGAAGCATCCTTGAGGTTGACCAGTTCTACACCTAGTGTTCCAAGTCCTGGCTAACGTTGGCGTACATGGACTTACAGGGTTCTTCAGTCCCCGAGCTTTCTGGAGTTGTTCTTGACACGATTTTGCTGATTTCTTTGGATCTGTACTGGGGCAGCCACTTTCTGGGCAGTGGTTCTATCCGGGAAGTCTAATCTTGCTGCCCAGCGCCCAGATTTATCATCAATTTAAAGACCGATGAATCAACAAGCTCTGCTCCATGTCAAGGCCACCAAACCTTACCAAGCAGAAACTCGGCGGGGCTGGCTTTGGGCTCCAAGAAATTGTTCAACGAACATGCTGAATTCGGCAAAAACGCACCATTCGCCTAAGTAGAAAAGTATCTAAATCATCAGATTGTCTGGGGTGTGGGAAGAGGGTCGTTTGTGGTGAACCCACTCAAGTGTGTGTGCGCAGCCCAGAGATGGCTTTGTAATGCTAGCACACTGCAAGCAGATGGGTTTGTGGAGTGTTTTTCATTCTTTTTTTGAGGGCATCAGTAACCAAAGAGGAGATTCCAAGCATACAGATCCTTCCCCCTCCGCCATGGGGGGAAAAATGGAATCTTCAGGAGAAAAGAAAAATTTGTAGAAATAAGAGTGGAAGAAATCCTATCGCAGAGTGCTGGGAAGAGAAAGAAAGCCTGGGGGGGGAGTTTAATGGTTTATAAAAATCTGCACTCAATGTTACATGAGACTCCTGAAGCCCAGGTCACAAAATGATGTGGACAAGAGGACCATGATCTGTTAAGGTAAAACCAGAGAGGTCAAATACATTATTAATTGTGCGATGTTTAAGTATTTTCAGCGGGAAGCACACAATGACACCTATTTGTTTATTCATCAGAGGAAAGACGGAGACGGAATGTAAGCATCTCTGCGGCTGTATTTCATAGCTTACTTTAGCACATACGAAATGTATCAAAATTTAAAATATTTATGCTGAAGCGTGCTTGCCCAGGAGACGTTTATTGTAATGGAGATGGTGTCCTTTCGCCTTAACCGTACAGAAACCAAACAGGACCTGTATCTATCCCCACCTAGCTAGTCAAAGGGCCAAGCCCAAGGTGCACTGTTAGGAAGTCTACATGGGTGCTACATGCCTATGGGGTTCGCCAGGCAAATGGAAACCAGGGCTGACTCCACCTCCCCGACAGTACAGCTTTGTAGAGCCGAGCAGCAGAGGATTCACAAAAAAGCCCAATTAACAGTTCACAGTCACTCCTGTTTCGTGTAAACACTCGGTCCCCAAACAAAATGAGCAGTCGCCTGCTTCAGGCAGATGCCTTTTCTTTTACACTTATTTATTTATTCAAGGGAGTGGGTGTGGAGGTCAGAGGACAAACTGAGTGACTCTGATCTCTCCTTCCAAATATGTGAGCTCCAGGGACTGAACTTTGGTCATCAGGGTTGGTGGCAAGCATCTTTAGCCAAAGAACCATCTTGCAGTTCCCAGATGGCCTTTTCTCCCCAGAATAACAACACAGAGACATCCAAGTCTGAAAGCACGTAAGAGGGAAGGGGAAACAAAACAAGACAACAAAAACCACAACAAAAAAGCAAGCTCAGCCTTTCTTTGTCGGAGTTGGAACAGAGCACTAATAAACACACAGAGAACCTTCTGGTGGCTGAAGCCAAAGCATTTGATTTAGCAGCTTGCTTCAGAGAGTTCGGTATGCTGGAGGCTGTTGATGTGTATTTTAAGTGCTCGGGTCAAAGGTCTGTATCACGCCATTGAAAAATGTCCACTCAAAGACCCTCTTCAAGACGAATGAGAAAAGCGCATTGCGCACACCATCACTCAGGGGACATGGGCAAAAAGAACTCTGAAAATGTGAGCAGAAGGAGCCCAGCAACTGGGCATGACATGCTTTGCCCCTGCTCTTCCTGGATGGCAGGAAGTGTATTTCTCATCGACGCTAAGTCGTGTCTCCTTGTGCTTAGCACAGGTCCATGGAAGACAGTGCTGGGCCATTTGTCACAGAGTCCTGGCTGCTGCCCTGTGGCCCTTGTTATGACAAGAGAAAACGCCTAAGTATTATTTCCCTCTGAGCCCATAGAGGGCTCAGCACCTCCTGGCTCCCTGAGGCATGGTGTGTCCCCCAGCAGGGATCCCCAGAAGGAGATGCTATGAGATTTCTATGCTCTTCTTAGGAAGTCTAGGAAGGCAGTGGATGGGAGAGCGAAAGCCGCCCTCTTTCTTTTTCGTTTTGGAGGTAACTTATTGTCCTCTACTTTATACAGCATAATTTGATTTGCACTCCTTGGTCTCTGAATAAGTTGAGAAGCCCCAAAACATTTCATGATATTAAATTAACCACCCTAATTTCCCCGGGAAGCTTCGATTTCAGCAAACAATATGCCTGCTAACATGATCCCAGAGCCCATTTAGAAAGAAATCCTCAGACAAGAACTAAGTGCAGACTCCCTGAGAGCAGTACTCTGACTACTATGCTGTCATAGTCCGAGAAAATAAACAAGTCAGGAAGGAAAGCCAGCATGAATAGGGACTTAAGGTAATCTCTTTGTACAGCAGACTCAGCGACAGCACTTCTGTGAGAATTCCTGACCCTAAGCGTAATATACTCCGAATTATCCCAGTTCGTCTCTTTTGCTTGCAGCTTCAATTTTCATAACTGAAGCAGGAGAGAAACACTTTTCTTGCAGTTCAAACATTTTTACAAAGCTTGTGTAAATCCTTAAAAGAGGTGAGAGCTAGAAAAAGCTGCTCTACAACATTAACACCAATCCACCCTACATCAACTATCACAAAGAGTAAGATTTAAAAAAAAAAGAGTAAGAAAATTCCAAGACTTCAATGATGCAAGTGAGTTCCCATGAGAAATACCTGGGAAATAGGAATCTCCTGAAACAGGCTTTGGCTATTTGTGATAAGAGTAGCATTTCCAACAGAATTCCCTATGCACACATAACGTCTGCACACCTGGGCTCATCCCGCTGTTGGGATGGAGGGTGTCCCAGCATCTCATCAAATGGCTGATGGAACTTAGCCGGAAGGCATCGTTGCTCCAGGGCCCCCAAACAGCAGCAGCAGCAGGAGCAGGAGCAATGTTCTGCTTCAGAACTACAGCTAGGGTCGCTATAGTCCTCCTTGTGTGAAGTGCAAGAAGCAGCGGAGGCTGAGCATTCTCTGGATTGAACCATTTGCTATTTACTGAACAAAACTATCTTCACAAAATATATAAAATCAGCAAAGGACTTCTGTACAAAATACACAAGGGATACCCTAGTAGACAGCCAAACAAGTCCACGGTCACGGACTAGAGTAACCTAGAATAGTCACAGCGCATTAACAGAAATGCACACTTCATTCAGTACCCAGGATGCAGAATAAAGTGTAAGAGAGCCTTTGCAAACAGAAAGATGGTTACCTTATTTGTG